TTGGTGGTCATTCACTATTATTTATTGAACTTTATCATCATTATCAATCAGTATTTAACTTTGATGCTCATTCACTCTCGATTGGTCTCTTTCTTCAGCAACCAACTATTCGACAACATGCACAACTACTTCAAACACTTCCATCCAATGATACGCAGCCAATTCGATGGCAGTCACTACATATCAATCAAGGTAAAACATTTTTGAATTAAGAAACATTAATCAAATATATAAACCCCTTGATTTCTCTTGTAGACATTACTTCGAATTTTTTCGAGCATCCATTTGTTGTGATCAATGAAAGTTGCGATAATATTTTGTTCATCTTACCACCTGGTGACGGTGGTGCTGAAAGCTACTTCAACAACATTGTGCCTCGTTTGTCGCAATATAAACTGGTAATATTCAATAATTACTACCTTGATCTTAAAACAAAAAACATGGAAAAAGGCTTTTCATTCGAGGCGTTAGCTCCTGTACATATAAAGTATATAAAAGAAATTCAACACGATGGTCCATATAACTTTCTAGGCTGGAGTTTTGGCGGTATTTTGTCGTTTGAACTTTCTCGTCAATTGATAAATGTTGGTGAGAAAGTTGATAATATTTTTATGATTGACTCGTACTTTAATATAAGGAAGGCTTCTTTTGAAATTGGCAAAATAGATGAAGTGGATATTATTAATCCAATAAACTATTCTTATTTACCAATGATAGACAATGAACCATTTGAATTAAATATTATCAACAGAAATACAAACATTGTATTATTTAAAGCTAACAAGATGGATGAAAGCGTTACATTGAACGATCAATTACAATTATATTCATACTACACGAATACATCATTTAATAATCTTGATATACTAGTGAATCATGAATATATCCAGTTATTTCAAATGTATGGCGATAGCCATTTCTCTTGGTTATTTAATGGAAAGCAAATTCTCAACATGTGCAGCTATGTAGCGAGTCTAATAAAATAAATAACAAAGAGAAAACTTACAAAAAAAGAAAGAAAATATTCAGTTTATTTTAGTTTTGCTTGCTATTAAATGTATTATTTTGATATCATCAATATATACGTTTCTTGAACAGACAATAATCATTTTAGTTTGATTCTTCTAATTTATCTTATTTTTTGCTAGTTATTTTTAATTTTTATTAAAAATCTAATGAATATCGGTATTATCACTTATGAAACGTCATAAACAAGATTAAACAAAATAAAGGAAATACGTACACTGTATCACTTAATATTAAAGAACTACTGTTCATTCTGATTTTAACACATTCATAGTATCGTTATTTTTCTTATTACTATTAAATTTTAGGGTATGGTTGAAGAGAAGAATATCACCTACACCCAACGCCACACCTACACTCACATCACAGCGCACCCTCACAACACATTCATCAGTGCGTTCTGTCAAAAGCACTCATTGTCGCTTACCATTTGACCGAAAGGAGCTATTAATTTATCCAGAAAACCTTGAGGGCGTGGAGGTATTTATAAAGATGATGGGATTCAAAGCATCATACGACGTGTTTCGGCGATTGCTTAGGCTGACAATCATCAGGTATGTTTTGAATCTATAACTACATTGATTAGTAATAATGATTCTGTTCCATAGTTGATGTTTATTATAACATTTGAAATTGCAAACGATCCTAAGCACTATAGATAATGAAAATCAATAAACAAAATATCAAACAATTGTATAGTACACAGTAATTGGATATTAGAGAAAATGTTCGGGTTTTAAAGATCATTCTTTAATTAGATTAACTTTGCATGTAGATGTAAGTTAGATGTGGGTGTGAATGAGGGATAGTGAAAAGGCACTCATACCCACATTCTCGCACCCATCCACACCCACACCCACCCTCAAGATGCTCACGTCAATTCTCACTGTGCTACATCAAAACTGATAATCTTTTCTCTTGGAATTATTATCGATGGTGGTTTTTGGATCGACTTTGGAATAATAATACATTTTGGTTGCACCATATACTTGGCACACCACTCTACAATTATTATCTTCGTCTTTGTGGTGCACGAATTAGTCTCAATACACATATTTATACCACAACTATCGATGCTCCATGGTTGTTAGAAATTGATGATGGAAGTTGGATTGCTAATGAAACGTGTCTGAACTGTTTATATTTTAATGATGATAATACTTTCAAACTGAGTCCAATTAGAATTGGATCTAATTGTTCAGTCGGGGCACGATCGATTCTATTTGATGGAGTTTATATGCAAAATAATATTATTGTTCAACCCATGTCATCAGTCACTGCCTTCGTCGCATCTGAAACAATTGTTGATGGTGAGGAACACAAATCTCTTCCTTCAGACATCCCCATTATGCAGAGTAATAGATCATTATCCATATGGCATAAAATCTACCAAATTGTTGCAATCATCTCGATAATCTGTATTCATTGTACGCTTTTGATCCTCGTCTATAAAGTTTATTCAGTTGGAAAAAGACCACTACTAATCAATATTGCTTTTTGCTGGACTTTATGGTCCATTATTGGTTGTTTTATTTCGCTTCTCCTATTGAAATTCATAGTAGGGCCTTGTACTGCTGGCGAAATATATCCGATATCATCTAAGTTACATTTACAAAAAATGTGGCTTCGTCAATTAACCCTTCGTAGCTGTCCTCATTTTGAGCTTTCAGTTGTAGTCTTATAATTACTTGAACACAACAGAGAGGAAATCCAGTCTTTCTCTATGAGTTGGGCATAGTATACACTAGTCAAAAATAGCAAACCGAAACAGTAACTGCAGTCTTGTTAGAAGATATAGACAGGTGATGGGTTCGCTTGGACCCCACGACAGCAACGAAGGGTTAATTGTATTTAGTTTTCATCATGCTTGGGTATTACCGACTGGGTACCATTATCTTTATTCTTATGTTCTCCGTTGGTTAGGTGCTCATATCGGAGAAAATGTCAAAATCACTGACATAGACACTTTTCTGTCCTGTCCAATAAATCTGTTAAAACTCGAAATAGGTGTTACTACTTTTGGTGGAGTTTCAATAGTTCCTACTGAATTGACACTCTCAGGTGATCATCGTGTAGGTCAAATAATGCTTGGATCTCATGCAAATCTTGCCAATGGATGTTCAATCTTGCCCGGTAGTTGCCTTGCATCTGAGACAATGATTGGCAATTTAACACGCATCTCACGAGAGACAAAAAGTAAATACGGAGAAGTTTTCATGGGTATTCCAGCTCGTGCAATGCCAGTTCAAATGCCTGTAATGCCAAAAAATCAGGATCATATTGAAATCATACCATTTTGGCATTCATGCTTGTCTCATTATATCAGCAAATGTCTTTTATTAAGCATTTATTCGTTTGGTGGTCTCGTTGGTGGATCAATCATTCCTACAATGCTTGTGTGTGGCCTCTATCGATGTCGTTCATATATATGTTATCAAATTATAGAACAAATAATAGCAAGAGTGAGTCAAGATTATGCACAATTTATTTGTCCATTTCTTGATAATACACAATGGCTCATTCGACTTTTTCGAGCATACGGCGCTCATATTGGTGAAAATACTATAATGCCAGATATATCTAGTATCACCGATTATCATTCGATGACTATTGGAGATAATGTTCGACTTATTGTGGGTACACAGATACAGGTAATACATAAGTTTTTTGTAATTTACTTTTCACATAAATTTGTTTTTCTGAATCTTTTCAGGGTCACAGTTTCGAACAACGTATTTTAAAACTAGCTCCTGTATCAATCGGTAATTCATGTGTACTCATGAGTGGCTCAATTGTAATGACAGGCTGCAAACTAATGGGTAACAATCGTCTTTATCCCTTGACACTGATAATGAAAAATGATCAGTTATCATGGAATACTCATTGGAAAGGGATTCCTGCACGTAAGTCACTCAGATAGATGATCTGCTCTTATGTAACACTTCCAAGATATTGTCTAATCGTTATTAATATTTATTTTTTATATCCTATCATTTCTTTTTAGTGAGATATACTGTTCTTGGAGATGAGCATACTATAGTTCCGATATAAGAAGCGAAACTGAATATAATATTTTCTAAGTCCTCTGTTGGTAAGCCATGATAAAAATCATTTGATTAACATTCTTTTTCACTGATACTAGATTTTTTTCTAAACTATTCCGCTGACCACAACGTATGATATACTATACAATCGAATCTATTTTTTATTGTACTCTTTTATTAATATGGAATTCAAGTATATCTCTACGTCAGTTTCAACTTATAATTATCTATCAACGTCTCGTACTAGTATTAGATCAGTTTAAAATTATTATTTCATATTAATAAATAATAATTTATGTGACAAAATAAATTGACAATCAATATTTTTCTTAAATATATGATACAAAGATACGATAGAGTATTGGATTTGTAACGTTTTATACTCTAGTTCAAGTAACTGGTTTTATGATTAGACTGAAAAATTAAAAAACTATACATCAAACATCTTGATAAGATTATGCATTCACACTCTTTTCGAAATGGACACAAAAATCTTACACCTTTTTATGCTTCCCATGTCTTCAAAATCGCCAAGGTTTGGGCGGTGAATCGCGATTTTTTAAAATATTGACGATTATATCGCCAGTAGGGAATGCTTATTTTGTCGGAATCATTACGAATCAAGACTTTTCGATAAAAAATCGGCAAAAAGTCCTTAATTTTGGCGATTTTATTGCGATAGATCTCACAATTAATCGGCTTCTATATCGCGATAAAATCACGAATTTTTTTGGGATTTTTGGTGGCATGAATAGTGCAGTATAAAATGATGTTAAATTATCTAGTCTATTAAAATTTTGTCATTTATGATGACTATATTTTCATCCAAAAATAATCGTCACTTCGGACGATTTTATCGCGATTTTCCGAAAAATAATCGTAGAGTAAATCGCGATTAATCAACCACTTTTTCTCGAAATCTTGGCCTATTGCGATATATCGCGATAAATCTCACAATTAATCGGGTGCTAAATCGCGATTAAATCGTCGATTATCCCCCGATTTTGATGACATGGGTTATCATACGTTTTTTTTCATATCTGTACTCTGATATTTTATTCTTTAACATAGCTCCGTTCGAAGTTAGGCTACTTACTTTGAATTGCTGCATATGAATTCATTCATTGCTTTATTATATTATATCCCTTTCTTCTAGAATCTTACACGGTAAAAGCAAAATTATCTCGGCCGACAATAGTTCATGACGATCTAGTAAAATATCAACAAGGATACGACACCATTAATGAATTGTTTCTTTGGTACGAACGAATTGCAAGCGTCTATACGAGTATAAATGAATTACAATTTATGAATTATGGCTATGCAGATATGGATGAATATATTGATGATCATACTGGCTATTATTCGAGAAAACTTTATGAACAGGTATGTAGAAAAGAATACAGGACTCTATTTTAGTGTTTCTTTTTTGTCCTACTTCGCATCCACTATCAACAGAGATTGTCATTGTCTTTGATTTATAAGGAATTTGTATGGATATGAACATAAAATTATTTTTTTAAATGCTGTACACTCGAAGTATGCAAAGAAAATCATCCAAATCAACTATACTTACATATAGTCGAGTTGATATAAAAAGAAAAATAGAAAATTTATGACTTTTCCGATATACAATTCATGGTTGAAATATTTTGTTTTATTTTCTAGGTTCTTGCAAATGTGACATTAACAGATCAGAATGTCCTTGAAATCAATTGTGGTAGAGGTGCTGGTGCTGCATGGTGTGTTCATACTCATGCATCTCACTCTTACACTGGAATAGATCCTTCTCAAGATGTCATTAACTTATGTCAACGACTTTATTCGACAATTCCGCGACTTTCTTTCGTAGTAGCTAATGCAACAAAACATTTACCATTTGAAAATGAGTCAGTTGATATCATTCTTTGTATTGAAGCAACACATGCTTTCGACGAACCAATAGCAATCACACAGTTTGCTAATGAAGTCTTTCGTGTACTTCGCCCAAATGGACATCTTCTATGGTGTGATTTTTGTTACATGAATGGATCAGGTACATCAGTTTATGATTTGATAGCAAACGGTGAATTAATTATTAAAGAAAAGATTAATATTACAAAGAATGTTCTTCATGCACTTGATATTCAAAATAAGTCTCGTACTGATTTCATTCAACGTTATATTCAATCTGAAGAACAAGAATATTTTCGTCGGTTTGCTGGATTACCGGGTACTCAAATTTATGATGACATGAGTCAAGGACGTTCACAATATTGGCGAGTTGTATTTCGAAAGAAGACAATAACAGATATGCCTATCATCTGAAAACAAACTTTAACTGAACAATACAAACACTTTTCATTTTTATCCTCAACTAACAATGTCATTTTATTCTACTTTATACTAATATCTCATTTTTATTTCTTAACTAATAAATTATCTTTATAATCATGAATCTCTATTTATTTCATCACATTGAATAAGATGAAGTTTTAAGAGAAAGTACATTTTAAATTATCCTTTTATTTCTGACACAATTGTTGTATTGGATTTTAAATCATTCAATTAGTTTTAGTTGATATGTTCAGAATAAAAATAGAATGCAATTTGGATTAAATAACATCTATTTAAACTGACAACAAAATCTCTTCAGATTCGTTCTAATTATTATTTAATCGAAGGATAATATCATTCAATATACCGATGTATTACTTTTACAATTCATCCGCACATTAATTCACCCGAGTTAGTGTTGAGTCGACCATAGGAATACCTTATAAAGGTGAACAATAAGACATTGATATGATTAGATTTGAATGTCAATTTGGGTATGAGTAAAGAAAAGATCCGTCTGTCTCACACTCACCCATCACATTCTGCTGACGAATATTTAATGAGTTCTCATTAGTACGAGCGAAAAATGTGATAGAATCTTTCTAATCTATATATGGAATTACTAGAATATAACTAATAGAGAGTCGTTTAACAACTTTTGAATAAAACCGATTTCAAGGATCTGATAGTAATTATATCACTAGGATTCCGGTCTAATTATACAGAAACAAATAACTGTTTAAAAGAAACTGTTTCAAATTACAGCTTCGATAATAATTATACATCGATTTTCTCTAAAATACACTCGACACTATTGATTACATTATATGAACATATATAAAGTTGTTATATTGAAATCGTTGCTTGTCTCAAAAGAAAAGTATGATGAAGAAAACAAGTTTCTTAAATAATATCATTTTAAGGTACTATATGTAAGTGATATTCTTTTAGCTCTATATTTTATAGATAAAGAGTCAAAACTAACTACAGAAATGTTTTTTACAGAGTGACAACTACTTCAACAAGAATGTCAGAAAATATTAATGCTTTTCATTATTCATTGTAAGATAGGAACAATAAATATTTCAAATAAATTCTGATCATAAACTATCACCAGAAGAAAATTATATAGAAAGTCTTTTATAAATAAAGAAATCATATCTTTTTTGTTTATATTTACTTATTCAATAAAATACTTATAAGTGTTGGTGATTTCTCTGCTTGATCAAATATCATCTTATGTGACCTAAAAGGCTAGACAAATGAAAACTATCCGGTGGTAACTGAGAACATTTTTACTTAAAATAAATCCTTCTAATTACATTTGAATTCGTAGTTAAATAACATGCATCGTATTTAATTCAAAAAATAGAAAAGTGAATAATTGTTTTTTTTGCAATTAAACATGTCAACACTAACGTCATTTATCATATGAAATCAAATTCATAATTCAGTAGACCAATTTATTAATCATGAATAAAAATATGACAGCAGTCATATAAAAATATACGCACGAAATGTTCAAAGAAAAGGCAGAGGTCAGTAGATAACAGACATTTTATGAACGAAAAAATTTTTTTTTATTTTTCATTGGTATATGATTGATGAATGAACATGTATATGTATAACAATACGTACGTATGCAAGCATGCACGTACAAAAATCAATTAAATTCTTGAAATTTTTCTGTAACATAATCCATCAATTAATTCCAATCTGGTTTGTTTATCTGCATTTTTTTTAATTTTTTTTAATATGAGAATAAGTATTGATGGAATTACTATACTTTAAAATTATCTTTTTTTTTTGTTAAGTTGAAAGTATAATTCATAATGTTAAATAAACATACATATCACAAATTGTATGAAGAAAGTACACACACACTTAACCGAATGGAATTATCATGTATATAAAGAAATTGTCTTTTTCATCTATAACCGATAGAAATGAATACTTTCTTTGTCAAGGTTTACAGATATCACATTATAGTATACTATTATTTTAAAATATAGTATTATAACACCTTTTTGCATATATATGTAAATCTTTTGTAAGATCAAAGCACAATTAGTACAAACACAATAAGAAGAGCTGTAAGTAACTATTATTAATGATAATAAAGACTAGACATTGAACATACAAATGCGTATAGATTTGCAATATTTTAGATATGAAATTCTCTTTTAAAATATAATATATAAAATTTTATCTACTTTCTGTGTTTTTTTTAAACAAAATTTTCGTATGACATCACAGGATAAAGAAATTAATTTTATGCTCTCTTCTTTATTTAATTGAAATTTCACGGTATATATGTAGTTGAATTTGGTCATTCTAATGAAAAGATAAATAAGATTTAATTCATACATTATTTCGTTATTCTATAGAAGAAAAAAAAAGAGCGAGGTCATAGTTTTATTACATCATTCATTTTTACTTTCTTTTTGATGAATGCAAATAGAAACTCAACGAAATTCACCTTCGCACTATGATCAACTAATAGGATCGTAAGAATAGTTTCTACTGTTGTACGACATCCCTCTCCTTTTTCCTCTTTCTAGTGTCAACAATAAGCTGATTAACATTGTTTTGAATAAAGAACAAAAATGAGAGGAACATGCACAGCTACTTGTTCAATAGATAGACGAAACTGCGGTGTCCTTTTTTTTTGCTTTATTGTTGTTATGTTCTGTTAGACTGTCGACCCACAAGCAGATAGAAGGGAGGAGAAACAAAAGACACACCGGTCGAATTTGAACGAGTAAAGAAGGAAAAAGGAGAGCGAAAAGAGAGACTAATCTGCTACAAAAGGACAATGCAAATAGAAGTATAGCGCTTTGTATTTGGCGAGTAAGAACGTAGTACAAAAAGAATAATAAATTGTCTCGTATGCATACGTGCGCTTCATTTACAATTATTTTGACGACTTTGACTTTATGACATTATTCTTTATTTTAGACTATGCCTTCAACTACAAATGGAGATTTATCTAATACACCACCAAAATTATTTAATTTAGCAGGAGAATCAACAACATCATCATTAACATCTACAAATTTAACATCAATTCGTGATCGTTGTCGTCGTTGTCAACAACTCGTCTATGTAACGGAACGTATCGGTCCAGTTAAAGATTCACTTTATCATAAATTATGTTTTAAATGTTTAAAATGTGATCGTCAATTAGATTTTAAAACATATTTTACAAATTCAATTGATTTAAATGATAAAGAAATTTATTGTCAAAGTCATGTACCACGATCTGGCAAAGGTATTTTTTCAACTGAAAATATGCATATACATAATGTTATGAATGCACCAAAATTAAATGTTATGCAAAAATTAGATGATCGTCTTAAAGTAAAAATTTATTTTAAATTAATTTAAAAAAAATTTATTTATTTATTTCTTAGGGTACACATCTTGATTCTCAATCAGTTTCAATAGCACATGCTATGAAAGCTCAACAAATGTTCCAAAATGGTCGAGAAAAAGTTTCATCAATTCATAATTTTCCTGCATTACCACCGGTATATATAAAACAAGAACTTTTCTCTTATAATTATTAGTTTATTAAGGATATTTTACATGCTCGAGAAGAAGTACGTCGTGCACAAAAATCTTTAGAAGAAAAACAACGACAAGAAGAAGATGAATTATTTATGAAATTTCGTGTTGATCGCGAATTAGAAGAGAAAAAAATTGAACGTGAAGTTATTGATGAATGGGAAAAGAAATTAGAAGTGCTTACAACTAAATATGAAGATGATTTACGAAGAAAAAAAGATAAAAATACTGAACGAGTTAGTCAAAACAAAAGATTTTCTTTTTTCTAATTGCTATTTTTGTTTTTTCGTGTCATAGGAATTAACACTTCGTTTTACAAAAGAAAAAGCTGAATTAGAACAAAATATGACATTAAAAAAAAATAAAAAACGTGAGATTGTTCGAAAACAAATTATGGAAAGAGAACAAGAAACAACACATTCACTTGTTTCAAAATTTAGTAAAGAAATGCTTAATTTAATACAAGTTAAAGAACGTGAAGTACTTGTAAGTAATACAAAAATAATAAAATCAATTATAAAGTTAAGATTAAGTGAATACGTATAAAAACTCGATTTTAGTTTATTCAATGTTTACAATTGACTAATATTCTTCTTTTGTCTCAGCTTTCCTTTGTAATACTGACTAAATCCTATTAGCTAAAATCAAATGTTCAAGCTTAAGATCAGTCTTTCAAGATTTGATAAGTGTGAATCTACTAACTCTTAATTAAACAATGAGGTATATATCGAAATATCAATATCTTATAATTCTTGATCCATAATTCGAAGAACTTTAAAATAGGGGCGTAACCAGAAAAACGGTGTAAGAGGGGCTTGAGTGATGATTAAGCAAAGGTAAACCATTTTGTAGGAGAGTGGTTGAGCCCTCTGACTGGTTACGCACCTACGTTTTAATAACTTTAGAAATATTTAGCAGAGTATAAATTAGTTTGATAATTCTCGAACTTCAGCCTTAGAGTGAAATTCGATAAATACCTGTACTAACGAATTTTTTTCCTAAATGGAAAACTTTTATGGCATACAATCTCTGTCATAACTAAAAAATGACCTCAATATTTATTCACTAGGCTAACTTGAGTATAAATCTCTCCAATACTTAAAATTATAAGATTTAATATATTAAAATAACATATTCTATGACTTTAAACTTAAGGTTGAAAATGGTGTTGATGATCAAGTCGCAGCAACTTATTCAATGCTTCACTTAAGTCAACCACCACCACCTCAACCACCTCGTCGTCATAAACGTGATTTATATGAAGATCCATCTATATTTGAACATGTCGATCAACAAGCTATAACAGTTGCCGAAAGTGAACAAACATCGTATACAGAATTAATCGATGAATTAACATATGGTTTATTAACTGATTTAGAAAAAGCTCGGTAAATTATTAGATATATATTATTTATATTCTTAATAGATATTAAAAAAAATTTTTAGAGCTATTTTTCGTTGGATAACTGTTAAAGATTTAAATGCTATTGATTTTCAAAATAATCTTGCTGCAGATACACCAATGGGCTTATTACGTGGTATCAAATATGGTACGGAAACTTATCATACATTATTTATGCGTTTATGCAGGTAGAAATAAAACAAGAATCGAAAATTTTCATTTTTATATTATTGAATTAGTTTTGCTGCTTTACATTGTGTGGATGTAAAAGGTCATTCAAAAAGTGTTGGTTATGAACCAGGTATGCATATTGCTGAAGGAAAATTTACTAATACATGGAATGCAGTTTTAATCGATGGTGAATGGAGATTTGTTCAATGTAATTGGGGCGCAAGGTCTTTTATTTTCAATCATTATTATTTTCTTTAAATCAACATATGTTATTTTTTTTCTTTAGACATTTAGTAATGAGTAAAGATAAAAAACAAATCGATATTACACCACCAAAACCTACTCGAGAAAAAATTAAATATCAAGTAATTACGAAAAAATTTTCATAAAAATATATAAATATGAATTCTATAATAAATTTAGTATGATGAACATTATTTTCTTCCTGATCCTGAAGATTTTATTCTTGAATTTTATCCATATAAATCTGAATGGCAATTACTTGAATCTCCAATAACATTACAACAATTTGAACAATTACCATTTGTTCGTTCACTTTTTTTTCACTATCATTTATCATTTGTTAATCAACAACATGCTGTTATTCAAACGGATAATCGTGGTGCATGTGATATTAAATTACGTATGCCAGATTCCGTTAAACAACGTTTAGCATTTCATTTTCATTTACGTTTTTCAAATACATTAAATACAAATGGACAAACAGATGATTCAACTGATATTCAAGGTGTTAAACTTGAACGTTATGTACTTCATACAGTTCAAGATGATTTAGTTTCATTTAATATTCATGTACCACAAGAAGGAAATTATTTTATCGAAATTTTTGCATCACTTGTGGTAATTATAATCAAATTGTTTTTTTTTCAAAGTTTTAAAACTAAAATAGAGGATATATTGATATTCTATTATGTTATATACTAGGGGTAGGACAGTTCGCAGTTCCAAGTTCAAATGAACTGGTCAAAAGAACTGAACTGCGTCAACAGTTCCTTGAATAGAACTGAACTGTACCGACAGTTCTTTCCAGAGGACTGTTGTGAAAACTAGTTTCTCGTAAATAAAAACAAATTTAAGACAGACCAGTTCCTCTGAAAGAACTGTCGATACAGTTCAGTTCTTTTCAAAGAACTGTTGACACAATTCAGTTCCTTTCGAAAGAATTTCATTCTAGAGTGTATTGTCTGGAAGTTTCATACATGAGAGTAGTAGTTCCGTCGATCGATAGCAAGTGTTCACTTGTCTTTCTCGCTCTTCTATTCTCAAAATGACTGATTAATTGAGAAGAGAAAACTATGCAGAGTTATATTTGAATGTACCATTATGTTTTAGGAACCTGATCCGAATCCATTTGGTCAAAGTTTTAAATTAAAATGTGTTTGTAAATATCGAATTATATGTCAACAATTAATTCAAAGAATGGTAAATATTTAATTTATTTTAATTTAATCGAATTATTTATTCTTTATTATTATTAGCATCCACTTCCGTCATGTGCATCGGGTGAATGGGGTCCAGCTAAAGCTATTCGCCATTTTAATATTCATCCATTAACACATTTTCAATCAATATTTGAAACACATCATTTACCTTTAATAATAAAATTTAAATGTCCAAAAATACTTAAATTTCATGGCAAATTAAATTCAAATAGATATTCAGCAGTTCAAAATACAAATAATAATCCAACGCCTAATAATGCTCTACAAAATACTCTTGATAAATATGTTAAATATGAATATAATGAACAAGATTTAATCATAACATTTCTAATACAATTACCTAATGAAGGTCAATTTGGTTTAGATATATACGCACGTGATCCAGAATATCAAACAGAAAAACGAACTATGTCACATTGTTGTAAATATATTATTAATTATGCAAAAGGTGCAATACCACCACCAGCATCAACTACTATTGAAACAGCAGCAACAACAACAATAACAACAAATAATAATAATCAAAATCAAAATGTTACATATCATGATTATTCATTTGATAATTCAAAACCAAATGGACAACAGAAAATTGTATCACCACCACGAATTAATCCAACAAGTACCAATAATACTAAAACGGAACGTAGTCTTTCACCACGTAAGTATTTCGAAAAATATAACTGTATCACCTAACTAAGCAGAACAAATCTGATAAAAATTTTCATAGGTTCAATATCATCAAATAATTCATCTTCATTACCTCTACCAAAAATTGGTGGTAATACAACATTACTTTCTCAACTTGGTATGAGTCCAATAAGTCACACTGATCCATCAATAACACTTCATTCAATAAATTCTATTGAATTGCTATTTCAAATACGTAAAATGGTTGATTTTTCATTTGATCTTCTATATCATTATACACATACTGATCTTTCTTCTCGAACATCATCATCATCAGCAGCAGCAATAAATTTAAATCAACGTTTGAATGCATCAGATTATGTAACAATAAAACCCAATGGTGGTTTTAATGTTATATTTGCATTAACTTTACCTAAACAAGGTGTTTATACATTTACAATATATGCTGCTACAACAAATTCACGAAATGATAGTCAAATAGGAAAAAATGGACAAAATGAATTACCAGCTGTTTTTACTTATTTACTTCGTTATACTTAGAATCTATGTGTGTTGAGTGTTGTTGCTTTTTTTTAATTCTGTCATTAATTATAAGAAATTTTTTCTTATGGCCTTGTTCAATTGGCATTTTCTTTTTTTCTGATTTATTTTTTTTTCTTCTTGCTTTTGCTCTTTTTTTGTTAATAATAATAAT